ATAAGCTCGTATTTATGTACGTAATAGTCGACTCATGCTTGTGGTACATGTTTCGTTTATTAGCCCATACACTTGTACGCACGCGCACAATTCCAAACTCCAATGGCGACTTGTCACAGAGTGATCAAACTATATTTTACACAGTTTCGCTGAATTTTCAAAGAATTGTGCCGGTTTCCTGTGGACATCCGTTATGTACTTGTGTTAATTTTTGCGTCGCACTCTGGACTTTCTTGCCTGTTGAATTAATGTTTTTCTTTTTGTATTTTAATTTATTAAACGACTAGAAAACCCCAAAATTTCATAAATTTATACCCAGGAAATTTATACAATATATTGGAATATAAACAAGGACAAACTCTCCTAATTCCTTACGATAGTGTTAGTCAAATGTCGACAATATACCTTTAAATACTTGTATTAAAATCCGCGCAGTACTAAGAATTAAGAGAATTCGCGTAGCGCTGGCGGCTGGGTGCGTACTGCGCGAAATATAATCCGCGCGAAAAGCTTTGTGGTAGCTATACTAAAGATAAAGCGTGCCTTCAAAATACCAACAAGAACTAGAACCATTATTGTATGGTTCTCATTTGCCACAAGTCGACCTCGAAGAAACGCATTTCGTTCGAGGTCGACTTGTGGCAAGTCTACTCATTTGCCTAATACAATAACATTTAGTTCGACGCGAATTTTAATACAAGTATGGTATCATATTTCATAATATAACAAACAATGTAAACTTGCCATACATTTTGCCGAACATAACTTCGGCCCCTTTGGACATATCTTTTTCGTAATAATATTATTGGGACCAGAATCGAAAACACTATTTATAGTGTTATTTTCAAGCTTGTGTCTTGGAATTTTCATCTTTTATTTCGGTATTTACAGAATATTTATATTTTTAGCGCGGCGATCAAAACAACGCGCTGTTTAAGAAAAAACGGAAATCGATTCTGTAGGTCGGCATGATTTGCATGTGCATCAATCGAGCTATAAACGTGCGTGCGAGTAAAAACCAAATTCAAAAATTTGAAAAATTCAAAATAAATATTCCTACTCTGTGCCGTATTCAAACGAAACTTTGTACATGAAAGCGCTTGAATACAAGATGTATTTTACTCACATTGATTCTGAGCAAATTCTGAAGAGTTACTAAAGAATACTAAAGCAGGGTGCATTGCCTGTTAATGGGTTAATAAGAGACATTGGCAGATGTGTTTGTTAACCCATTTACTGACAGTACTCTGCCACTAACAAGTAAAATCGTCTGGCGTTACAGTGTAAATTGGTCTGGCGTTAGCCAGAGTTATATATATATATATATATATATATATATATATATATATATATATATATATATATATATATATATATATATATATATATATATATATATATATATATGTTAGATTATGAAATTTATTGTTGTAAAAGAAACTAAAAGGTTCACAAAATATGGTTTTCCCGCTTGAAAACAACAACTACACCGATAATGGCGAATCAAAATAACGTTCAACGAACGTATAGTCACGTGACCGATGTACTGTATATATTAACTGTATTACGGTACTTTATGCTAATTTATGCTAAATAATATCAACCATATAAATATAGTTTAAACTTTAAACACTAAAAGTACTTATCTCAACACCCCCACTCAGACTCAGCTCGTCCTTAACTATGATGAGTCTGACGTGTTGTTGATGTTCTTAATTCCCTAAGAGTACTGTTCTGTGTTTTACCACTTTCACTCGAGGTAATGATTTCGTCAGAATGTCCGCAGTCATTTCTTCGGTTGGAACATAATGTATCTTTATTTCTTTATTTTCTACCCTTTCTCGAATGAAGTGTAGCTTCGTGTCGATATGTTTTGACCGTTTATGCATCACGGGATTGTGACACATCTTAATGCAGGATTGGTTGTCTTCTCAAATATCTGTCGCTTTCTCCATTGGGAAACCAAAATCCTTTAGTAGAGCTCGTAAGTAGATTGCTTCTTGTGCAGCAGCCGCCATGGCTTGATATTCCGCCTCCGCTGTTGATAAGGCAAAGGTTGCTTGCTTCTTTACCTCCCAACTGATGGCACCTCCATTTCCTTCGAATTTAAAGTAGTATCCAGTTGTCGATTTGCGATCGTTGAGATCCCCACTCCAATCTGCGTCCGAATCGCCAACAATATCACAGCTGGAATTCTTCAAGAATGTTAATCGTAAGTCGGTAGTTCCTTTGAGGTATCTCAGTACGCGCTTTGCTGCCTTCCAATGTGATTCGTCAGGTTTATCGAGAAATCGTGACAACTGATTAACAATATTTAGAATATCTGGACGGGTTTGTTTGCCAATGAATAAAAGAGAGCCAACTAAACTTCTATACAGCTTCGGATCTACTAATTTCTTTCCTTCGTTACTTTTGACTAGCTTTAGATTTACTTCTCCGGGTGTTGCTACAACTTTGCAATCACTCATGTTAAATTCTTGGAGAACAGTTTCGATATACTTCGTTTGATCCACTGTAATCTTGTTGTGCGATCGCAGGATTTGCATTTAACATTGACTTAATTTCGTTAATTGCTTCTTCGGTTGCTCCAGCCACTACTATATCATCTACCCAGACTAACACATAGGAAAATGTTCCATTTTCTTCCTTTCTTACAAATAGGCAATAGTCGTTGCAGCTTCGTTTGAATCCTTTCTTGAGAAGTAGACTTGTCAGAGCTTCATACCAGTTTTTCGCAGCTTGTTTTAGACCATAGATTGATTTGTTCAATTTGCACACAAGCTTTTGTCCTGAGTTTGCTTTCTTGACAAACCCCTCTGGCTGCTCCAGATAAATTTCTTCTTCTATTTTGGAATGAAGGTACGCTGATTTCACGTCCATCTGACCAAGATATAAGTCCTTTCGTGATGCAGTTGCTAATAGAATTCTAAAAGTTTCTGGTTTGCATGTTGGAGCGTATGTGTCAAAGAAATCTAGGCCCTCGATTTGAGCATAACCCTTTGCTACGTATCTTGCCTTGAGCTTATCGACTTGGCCGTTTGCTCGATACTTTACTTTATACACCCATTTTCCAGGTAAGACTTGTTGATCTTCTGGTTCATCGACTAATGTCCAGGTATTATTGTCCATTAGTGACTCGTACTCTGCTTGCATAGCTTTTCTCCAGTTTTCTGCATGCGGTGAACGAATTGCGTCATTATACGACTTGGGTTCTTGTATGTTTTCCTCTTTTGTTATGTTAAACGTGTAGGGTAATCCATATCGTTCCGGGGGGGCGACGATTTCTGCTTTCTCTGGGGAGTGCGACTTCGTCTTCCTCAGGGTTTTCTTCGACTTGATGTGGATTTTGAACAACAGGTGTCTTATCATTTTCCCCCACTCTAGCTTGGACCGGTATCTTTGTGGCTTCGTCATTCGAGCGATCATCTTCAAAATCCATGTTTGGACTCACAAGGTTTGGGTTGTCCGGACTCATCGTTTCTCTGGCTGAGAATGACTGGATTTCGTTCTCTTTGAAGATGACATTACGTGCTTTGATGACCTTTTTTGAGTCGAATTCTTGCAAGATGTAGGCTGTGCTTTTGTCATCATAACCGATAAATTTGGCTTTCACCGATCTCGAATCCAGCTTCTTCATGTTGATCTTTCTTTTCATAACATATGCCGTGCAGCCAAAAACTCGTAGCTGGTTGCGCCTTGGTGGTTTTCCGGTAAAGAGTTCAAAAAGACTCTTTCCTTGGTTGCTATTGGCAGTTACTGTAAGATTTCGTATGTGAGCTGCTGTAGATAAGGCTCTTACCCAGTAGCACTTTGGTAACTTGGCTTGTATTAACAGAGACCGTCCCATTTCAACTACAGTTCGATTGAAGCGTTCTGCAACTCCGTTCTGTTGTGGGGTTTCTGGAACAGTAAATTCTTGCTTTATTTTTGAGTCTCTGCAGTAATCCTTGAATTGCTTCGATGTGTATTCAGCTCCATTGTCAGTTCTCAGTCTTTGAGGTGTTCCATATTCAGCTACATACTCTTTAAATTTTCAAAAGCTTGGGATTTCTTGCTCATAAACTTTACGATGGAATGTTTCGAGTATTCGTCGATAAATGTAATCGCATATCTAGATCCACTGAGGCTAGGTACTTCAAATGGACCGAGTATATCTGAGTAAACGAGTTCGAGAACTTTCTGCGACTTGTTCTGCGTTTCTTTCGGTACAGGTTTACTAGATTGCTTTCCAAGTGCACACGTTTCGCATACTTCCTTCAAATTATCTTTACAGCCAATGGTGCGTTTGACGTCATCCTTGTTTAAGTGTCCGAGCCTTTGGTGCCACAGATTAATACCTCCTTTGATTGATGCTTTATTTGTGTTGTAAGTGGTCGAATGACATGCACTGGACCTTTGAAAGGTAATCTTCAGATAAAATAAACCACTGTCTTCAGTGAGATTGACTTGTGGACCATGATTTAATGTTAACTTTGCTTCACTTTTATTAAATACGAATTTGTGCCCAAATCTGACGGATCGATTGACAGAAAACAGGTTCACTTCATAGTTTGGCACATAAAGTACGTTTCGTAGAACCATTTCTTCCTCTTTTCCATTTTTCAGATGAAGCTTTACTGGTACATCACCAATTCCTTCAACAGGAGTAAAATTTCCCTTTGGATCTTTAACATTTTCTATGCTGCAAGGTTGTAAGTTTTCAAACAGTTCCTTTTGGCTAATGATGTGATCAGTACAACCAGTATCGATTGTAACATGGCAGTGTTATACCATGTTGTTAAATATATTCAATACTATATTCAATACTATATATTCAGTATACTGTTATAATTATAAGAGGAAGACCTTAGGCAACCTTCCTCGCATGAATAAGCAAATATTTAGAGAGATTAAAGAACCACGGGAAACGCCTAGTACCACAAACCACGCAAACAGGACATAGTGTTGTGGTTGATAAACACTGCTGGAACTTGCTTTGACAAACATATTGCGTAGAGGAAATTAGTCATAGTTACAGATTTCTTCCTCTAAAATTTATTATAAAAGCTGAGCACAACCTGAGAGTCGAGAGGGGAGAGTGAAGTGAGAAGAGCCATTTAGGCTAAAATACTTCATAAGCCAACAAAGGCTGAAGTATATAATTAAAAGGCTAGATAATTAAGCCTCGTCAAGTAAACTGAAGAACATTGGAATATTGTGGAATAATTATTATTAAAGAAGACGGAATACAAAGTATAAAGAATAAAGATTCAAAGTTGTGCTCAGCTCAAACAAATAGAGAGATAAGTTGATATATTAAGATTACTATATTATTATAACATTATAGAGACGCTAATTCATATTGTTGAAAGTAAATAAAATATATAAAAGGTATAAGGTTTCATGCTATTTGTGTTACGGTAGCGTTAATATAATTTGAACCCGAAGCCTAAAGGTTGAAAATATACCTAATTGGAAAATATATTTGACGCATAAATAACGCACCATAACAGCTGGGGGCTCAGGCGGGAACCAGTAAAACCAGTCTAAACAGTTGCATGCTCCAAAAGAAAATTAGCATTTCAAGTTAAAACAAATAAAAATTGGAAAGTCATTTCATTGATAAGATATTAAGCGGAATTTGAGGAATACATTCTGCATGCGTCATAATGTTAAGTGTGAAACCAGATACCTTAATTGATCTTAATTAAATAAGCATGTCAGAATTTAACCCCGGCGAATTTATGGTGGAACCAACCATAGAAAATTTTAATAGCCTGCGTAAAGATAACCTAGTTACGCTAGCCAAGCATTTAGGGCTAGAAGTAAGAAGTACCTTCAGAAAACGCGAAGTATACGATTTAATCAAGGAACATTTTGTTAAAGAAAAAACATTCGAACAGTCTGTTTTCATGGAACAAAGTATAAATACAGTAGAAAATACACAGATTAGTGAAGATAGTGAAATAAGCGAGAAAGACAGACAGTGGCAGAGAGAGCATGAGAAAGTTTTGTGGGAAAGAGAACGAGAGAAACGCGAGTGGGAAAGAGAAAGAATAGAGAAAGAAAGAGAGTTTAGATTGAGGGAACAGGAATTAGAAAGAATAGAGAAAGAAAGAGAGTTTAGATTGAGGGAACAGGAATTAGAGTTAAGAAAATTGGAATTAGAGGTTCAGGCAAAAGGGCAAAATCTTAGAGTTAATTCGGATCAAAAATTTGACGTGACCAAGCATGTCCGAATGGTTCCACCCTTCCAGGAACGGGAAGTAGACCAATATTTCCTACATTTCGAAAAAATTGCCACAAATTGTGAGTGGCCAAAAGACAGCTGGACGATGCTGTTACAAAGTGTATTAGTTGGTAAAGCTCGTGAAATTTTTTCGCAACTTTCAGTAGAATTATCAGCTAATTATAATACGGTAAAGGAACTTATCCTTAATGGTCCCAGAGGCATACCGCCAAAAATTTCGAAACTTTGAAAAAACTGACCACAAAACATATGTCCAATTCGCCCAAGTAAAAGAACAGTTGTTTGACCGATGGTGCTTATCTGAGAAAATCAATAAAGAATACAAAAATTTGCGGGAACTGATTTTAATTGAGGAATTCAAACGTTGCATTAACCCCGAAGTCCGCACATTTATAAATGAACAAAAACCTGACAGTTTCATTGCAGCGGCCCGTTTGGCAGACGATTTCGCGTTGACTCACAAGACCACATTTGAAAAGAAGTCACAACCAAATAATTTTGACAACAGACACACACCGGCCAGAAAATATCCGCACGATAACCGGGGAAAATATGACCCCAGAGCATCACGCGACACGACTAATCCAAGTTGGCGACGACCGCCACAAAATTTCCAGCCGAATAAAACGTCGGAATTTCCGAACAAACGAAATAATTTTCCTTTCAGTACCATCACTTGTGGCTATTGTAAGCGTAAAGGACACACGATGTCAGATTGCTACAGAAATCCACAAAATCAAACAAAACCAACCGGCATTGTTTCAACACCGGATAACAACACAACATCTGTTTTTGATAGTAATAATGCTAGTGATACTCAAGAGGATTTGATAGAGGTCAAAGCCAATGCTGACCCTATAATGAAAGTATTTGAACCATTTGTAAATGCGGCTAGTGTTTCACTTTTGAACAATCCAACACAACGTATTCCAGTTCAAGTATTACGCGATACTGGAGCGTCTCAATCTTTAATACTGACAAACACATTGCCATTTTCTGCGGAATCATATTCCGGAAACAATGTTTTGATAAAAGGAGTTCACTCCAGCGATTATAGCTCAGTTCCTTTGCACAACATTCGACTGCACTCAGATTTAGTCTCCGGAGATGTTTCGATAGGTATCATCGATACATTGCCTTTCAATGGAATACAATTGTTATTAGGCAACGATCTTGCGGGTGAAAAAGTGACAGTCAATCCAATAGTGACAAACAAACCATGCTCAACATCAATTTCCGACGTCATTGAACAAGAAATTCCAAATTTATATCCATCGTGTGCGGTCACAAGAGCAATGGTAAAACAACAAGAATTAGAGGATAATAAAAGAGATGACCTTGATTCATCCTATGATTTGTCCGATACTTTTCTTACACAGTTATTTGATAGTGGCCCTAAAACAACACAGATTACGAAAAACGATGCGATAGACACAAAAAGCTTGTCAACATCTAATCTCATTCACGAGCGAAATAATGATCCCGAAATAGCTATTCTAATTCAACAAGCTTTCGATGAAAAAGAAATTTCAGACCAGGCAATGGGATACTTTATCAAAAACGATATTTTAATGCGGAAATGGCGACCACCTGATGTTAGTGTTGATGATGAATGGTCAGTTCGATACCAAATTGTTATCCCAAAACCTTACCGTGAAGAAGTCTTACGTTTAGCACACGAAACACCCCTTTCAGGACATCTGGGAATAAACAAAACCTATGAGAAAATCATACGACATTTTTATTGGCCTGGAGTTCGAAAAACCGTGGCAGAATTCTGTAAAACATGCCACACTTGTCAAGTAGTCGGCAAACCAAATCAAGTTATCCCAAAAGCACCGCTAAAACCAATTCCGGCTTTTGAAGAACCATTTATTTAGCCGTATTATGATTGATTGCGTCGGACCATTACCTAAAACTAAGCGAGGTAATCAATATTTATTGACAATTATGTGTGTTTCGACACGTTTTCCTGAAGCAATACCACTTCGAAATATCAAGGCTAAAACCATTGTAGAAGCACTTACAAAGGTTTTCACTTTAGTTGGTCTTCCAAAATCCATCCAGTCTGACCAAGGTTCGAATTTCACGTCAGGGTTGTTTCAACAAATTATGCACGAACTAGGTATTAAACAATACAACTCGTCAGCTTATCATCCGGAAAGTCAAGGCGCTCTGGAAAGGTTTCACCAAACATTGAAGCAAATGATTAAGACATATTGTTTTGAAACTGAGAAAGATTGGGACGACGGCGTCCATTTCCTTTTGTTCGCGGCTCGTGAGTCAGTTCAAGAATCATTAGGGTTTAGCCCATTTGAGTTAGTTTTCGGTCACACGGTTCGGGGACCGCTCAAGCTTTTAAAGGAAAAGTTGCTTACCGACGACGGTGGTTCATTGAATATTTTACAGTATGTAACGGACTTTCGTACCAAATTAACTAAGGCTTGTGACCTAGCACGTAAGAACCTTAAAACAGCTCAAAATCGCATGAAGCACAGTTACGACAAAAACACCGTAACTCGGAATTTTCAGAACGGAGATAAGGTTCTTGCACTTCTTCCGGTTCCTGGAAACCCCTTGCAAGCTAGGTATTTTGGGCCCTATGTTATAGAAAAGAAAGAGAATGATTTAAACTATGTAATCATAACTCCAAATAGACGTCGAAATAAACAGCTTTGCCATGTAAATATGCTTAAAGCATATCACGAAAGAAAGTAGTACAGTCAGTAAATGTAGTGAGTTCAGATAGAGATAGGTATAGTAATGAGGATGAATCTGAACTCTCTAGTTTGTCTGAGACAACAAAATTGAGCAACTCCGACGTTTTACGAAATATGGATTCGAAGTTATCTCATCTTCAACCATCTCAACGTCAGGATGTTCTAGACCTTGT